AGTGCAACAGCTGCTTTGGCGAAATCGTGGACATCCGCACCTTCTGGGATTTCCTGCAGGATGATCCACTTGTTCTTGCCCTCCAGACGCTTGGTGATTGGTTCTGGGATCGGGGCCTTGCACTTCAAGGTGAGTGCCAGTGCCATGTCTTTTTTGTGTGCCTGCGAATGCGTGATGTCCTCTACCTGCTTTGCATACCTCGCTCTAGCGTCTGTGATGAGCTTGGTCTGCTTGATATCGAGAGCCTGCGTGGTTTGCCCGACGCTGGCTGATGTAGACAGTGTGCGCTGCTCTGCATACTCGAGGGATTGGTTCTTCTCGGGCTTCTGCCTCCACTCCTCCTGGTCGAGCCACGATGGGGGGTTCCAGGACGGCGGCAGGGATGAGCTGCGACTTGATGAAAACAAGGATCCTATCTCTACCTGCGCACATCTTGCACCCTCAACTGGAAACCCAAACTCAGGAGGGTGAGGCGCGGCTAGTACATCAGCTTCTGGTCCAATAGAGTCCGTAGATCTCGTAGTGGGAGCCGATGCCGACGATGAATACGTCGTGTGGTCTGGAGACTTCTCGGCATGACGTAGAGCTGCGGGTGATGCTTCACGCAGATACGAGATACTGCATCCAGTTCTTGAATTAAAGTACATGCATTCTGTTGGTCCAAAATGGACCTGCTTAGCGGGCCGAGCTGCTCCTGGTGGCCGCCGCGTTGGCGGTCCTGCCGAAGGGCTGCATAGACCTCCTCGCGATCTGCCTGGGCTGCGGTCCTCCGCTGCTGCCACTATCTTCCTCGTAACTTCGAAACGAACCAAATCGGGGTAGGGAAGATCCTCGTTGTCCAGGGCGTACTGGGCTGTCACCATGCGCAATGTTGTAGTGCTGGGTGCCCTGCTGGTTGCCGCTCTTGCTTTCTTCTTGTGCTCGCTCAGTGCTGAGGCCTCTCGGCGTGAACGGTACCGTCGGGCTGATCTCTTCTTGCTTATCTGGTTGTGCTGGTGACGCCACTTCCGTAGGAGTGCAGCAGCATGGTGATGGCTGCTCCGTTGGGATTGATGATGGCTCGTCCAGGTTCCTCATCCTGAGGGCTGCCGCATACTGCTCTTTGTCCACATTGTCACCGAGGAGGGGGCCAACTTCCCATGCTGATGCTGGTGGCTGTGTCGCCACTGGCGTCTGGGGTACTGGTTCTTGCCGTTGTTCATGAAGATGCGTACCTTGACTGTTCTCTGCCATCATGGCCTCAGCCTCCTCTTTGATTATCTTGCGTACCATTTGGTCGGTCACTTCTTGAGCCTCATACAGTGTGCGCTCTTCCACTCGCTTGGCCTGCACTTCATCCCAATTGTCGGCCTCTAGGTCATGATTGTCGTCGGGTACTGGCTGATGGGCTGCGGGGACGTTGAAATTGTCACATTGTTCTGCACGCTGGGCTGCCTGTTTTTCTGCATGAAGTTCTTCTTTCGTACCTTGCTTCTGGGCTGCAGCTTGGGCGGCTTCTTGCAGATGGACCTGATATGCTGCTTGTCGAGCTGCGACTTCTGCAGCCCCTGTGTCGATGATCGGAAGTTGTCCGACTGCTGCTGCTGCTGCATGTGCTTGTGCTGCCGCCGCTGCGCTTTGTTGAAGCCACTTCTTGTGGTCGATGACCTGCTGCCGCTCCTGTGGAGCGAAGTAATCCTCTGTTGGAGTTGAGGGTGACGGTTGGGTTCTTGTCGCATCCACTTCCGTGCCTTCCGTCACAATCTGGCTCATCATCTTCTCCTGCTGCTCGGTCATCTTGTTGATGTAGTACTGATGGTATACAGCCTGTTGCTCGTAGAAGGCCTTTGCTGCTTGTGACTCCGCTTGTGTGTCTCGTAGCTGCGCTTGTAACTTGCCATTCTCAACTGTCTGTTGTGCCACCATTTGCATCAATTGCTGTATCTGTTCAACGTGTCCATCTTTGTGCGGAGTCTCTGCTACCTCGGAGCCGTATGCAGAACTCGATGGTGGCAATCCTCCTGCTGGGAATGTGCGCCGTTGTATATTCTGTCTAGGCCTTCCCAGCCTTGGTTCTACTTGCATAACTTCATCGTCCAGATCTTTTTCTTGTTCATCGTCCATTTCACCTTCTGCTTCTTCCTCCTCGCCGTCCCTGTCGTTGATGGCCACCACCAGCGCTTCGTGGGCCCTGTCAATCTGGTACTGCAGGTCGTCCAGCTCCTCGTTGATCTTCTTGGCCTGCTTGACTTTCATCTTGTACTGCTCCTTCAGGGCCTCATGGTGCTTTCTGTGTCCCTCCACACGTGCCGCAGCTGGACGCATTATGTCAATGATGTACTTCATGACCGCGATCTTGAACTCTGTTTCTTTGACGTCCAGCTGCGCTTTCCTGCCTGACAAGGCGGCCATACCAAGCTGAGATTGCTTGGCGTATATTCTGTATCGGAATGCCCGTGCAGCACTCTGGTCCGTGGGGGGGTCCTCGTAGTCCCTTGATGATCTCGCTTCCTCTGGCGTAGCTATAGGCACCCCATCTATCAACTTCTGCAACTCGGCCGAGCGCTTGGGAGGGGCTCTTTCTTTGTCTGTCTTGTGTCTGCTGCTTCTGGGCGTATGTTGTCGTTGTCCAGCCTGCCCTTTTGTCCAGCATGAACACCTGTCACAAGACCATGGGTTTGACAATCCACAAGTGTTGCATTTCCATCTGCCTTCATGCCGTCCACCCATCGCTTCTTGTTGTCCTCGTGTCTGCGACTGCTGTCTCTGCCTTCTTGAGCTGGAACGGTGGCGGCGTTCTCCGTGTGAGGCCTTTGCAGAATGATGATGCCGTAATAAATGTGAGGCTTTGTGCAACCGTAGTAATACTCTGGCTGATGCCCTTGCCCTTCTTGATCTCCTGTGCCAGGCTGGCGACCTCGGCCGCTTGGTTCTGGCAGGTGTTGGCACTCCAGGCCCGATATCCGCACGTGTCGTCGATGTCCTTGATGGGCCACCTGGCCTCGGCGCGAGGCTGGGTGCTGGGCGCGGGTTGGGGTTCCCCGCGACTATGGCTGCGGCTGCGGGGCCGCGGACCGCGGGCGCGGGTGGCGCCGCGCTTGGGCGCGGCCGCGGGTCCTGGGCTGCCTGCCCGGCCTTCGGGCCTTGGCGCCTCCCCCTCTTCTCCTCCTCCTCCTCCTCCTCCTCCTCCTCCTCCTCCTCCTCCTCCTCCTCCTCCTCCTCCTCCTCCTGGTCTTCCACCTGCGAGGGCCCTCGGTCCCTCCGGGCTCCAGGCCGTCCAGCAAGACCTTCCAGCGATATACAGCAACCTCCAAGACCCTGGGGAAGTGTCCAAGAGCCCCCATGCCCCACCCCCACGACAAACAAAAAAAAACGGTGAGGGCATTTCTCACCTCGGACCCCGGGGGGCTTGCTCGCAAATGAATTCCAAGGGGCGCCGCACGCGCACGGCGCCCAGGAGGGACCAGCGGGGGGCCAACGCCCAAGCCTCGGCCCCAACTCAGCCCCGTGGGCCAGGGGTCCACCTCCTGTCGCTGAGCGGCCCTCGCCGTCCGTGGATAAGGAATCAAGGGTCTGGAAGCTGGTGGAACTCCAATCGTGGATCGGCCATGGATACCACTGCCGCCCCCATCAGATAAGGAATCCCCCAGGGTCTCAAGCCTCCTGGGCACATTCCTGAACCACCGCCCCCACCGAACCGAGAGCCTCCCAAAAGGGGTTCCCTAAAAACCGTCCTAGGAGGAAGCCCCAGAGACCTCTGGTGCCCCCCCCGGCAGCAAGCCTCCGGGAGACCGCAAGAGGCCTCCGCCGCATTCCCCCGCCACCGCCCACCCCCGGGAAGCCGCAGCAAAATCCTCAGACTTGCTGCTGCGGCGCGGGCCGCCCCAAAAAGTCTCTTCGCCCGCTCGCTCGGCTCCCTGGGTCGACTCACCCAAACGCTCGCTCTCTCGATCGGTCGCATGGTTCGCTCGTTCGCTCGGCCCTGCCCACCCGCGCGGACTCTCCAGGAGGCGAAGAGGGGTCGCACGAACTTTCGCGGCCTCGGATGGGGTCGCGGCGGCGCCGTGCCAACCACACGCCCGCGCGCACGGACCGCCACCCGGAAGCGCTGTCGCGCGCACCCGAGCGGGCGCGAGGGGGCGTGGCTACTGGAGCAGGGAGAAGCTATCGCGAGGGGCAGGGATACAGCCGGCGGCGCGCCCGAGGGGGCGGCAGCGGGCGGGGTGGCCTTCTGAGAGGGGAGGAGGGGCTGCTCAGAAGCCCTCCCACGGCTTCTCAGAAGCCTTCCTGGCATGAGGCACAGGGGTCCCGAGGTCTGGGCGTCGCTTAACGAGGGGTGGCGATGAATGGGGGGGGAAACATGCACTTCTCGGGCCCCAAGGGCCTCGTCTGGGGCCCCAAAGGCCACTTTACGGGCCCTGCAGGGCCTCTTTTCCGCGGCCCTCGCTGCCCCCCAACGCATCGCCCCCCCATTACGAGTCGCCCGAGAGGGAGGCGGGTCCTCGGCCCCGGGGCCCGCTCCCAGGATCACACGAGCATCCCAAGGAGTTTTTACTAGTCCTGGGACCCAGGGAAGGCCCAGGGAAGGCTCGACGACAGCCAAGAACCTCCCAGACCCATTCCCCTCAGGACCCGCTTGCTTCTGCGAGAAGCCTCCAGCACCTTCGAAGAAGTCTCCTGCCCTCGTGGAGCGGACCACAACCCCGCCCCTTAGCCCCCCTGCGCGCCGCCAAGGCAGGGAGGAGAGGCGGCACAGAGGAGCTGCAGGACCTAAAGAAGTGCAGGGAAGGATGACAGCGAAGAAAGGAGATGAATACAGTCATGGCGCGACCAAAAGAAATACAAACTAATGAACAAAGCCCATGCTCGGCCCCAACAGCGCCTGACTGCACGAGGGGCACTCGAGAAACAACCATGGAAGGAGCTAAGAAACAGCAATCCCCTCCTTTTTTCAAAACCCGAACTGTTCCTTCTTGCAGCGTCTTGACTGTATACATTCCTCCTAGACTATTTGCGGTCGCTCAGGAGTTCTGGTCCATCTCCTGTTGGGCCGCTTTGCGTTTTGCGCACCAGCGGGCGCCTCCGCCCAGCCACTGAAGAGCGCCCAAAACATCGCATAATCTGCCATGCGTCCTCCTGCTCCTCCTTCTCCTCCTCCTCCTCCGCCTCCTCCTCCTCCCCTTCCTCCTCCTCCTCCTCCTCCTCCTCCTCCTCCTCCTCCTCCTCCTCCTCCTCCTCCTCCTCCTCCTCTTCGCCCTTCTCCTCCTCACTCTCCTCCTCACTCTCCTCCTCCTCCTCCTCCTCCTCCTCCTGGTCTTCCACCTGCGAGGGCCCTCTGTCCCTCCGGGCTCCAGGCCGTCCAGCAAAACCTCCTCCTCATCCTCCTCCGACTCAGGCGCAACATATGTAAGTGAATACAATGACATGCAGATACAGATATGCATGCACACCTGTATTACATATAAATATGCATACGCATACACAAACATATTCATACGTACGTGCACACATACACACATGCATACATGTATGCACACATACATACATACATACATACATACATGCATACATACATGCATGCAAACATACATACATGCATGCATGCATGCATACATACATGCATGCATGCATGCATGCATACATACATACATACATACATACACGTATACGCACACGCATGCAGGCATACATAATACATGCATGGATGCATGCAAACATACAGACATGCATACATACTGATAGACACACATGCATATATGCATGCATGCATACATACATGTATACGTGCGTACATACATACATACATACATACAAACATACATGCATACATACGTGTACGCCTGCACACCGATATGCATGCATGCATATAGACATGCATGCATGTATACACGCGTGCATGTATACACATAAATATGTGTACATGCATACATATACACAACCAAGCATACAACAACTATACACATGTATACAAACATGCATGCATACATACATACGCACGTGCATGCATGCACGCATGTATACGCACACATCCATACATACACACATACCTGCATACATACAGGCATGCACATATATGCACACATGCATGCATACACGCATACATACATATATGCATGCATGCGCATATGCATACATACATGCATACATACATACATACACATGTACGCACACGCATGCAGTCATTCATAAATCCATGCACACATGCATACAAACATACATACATACGTGTGTACATACATACAGATGTGCATGCATACATGTGTGCATGCATGTATACATACATCTATACATACACATGTTCACACATGCATTCCTATATAAATGCATGCATGCATACGTGCATGCACGTATGCATGCATACGTGTATGCACATATGTGTTTATATGCGTACACACATATAAACACACATGTAACTAACGTGCACACACTACTACATACATACACGCAAACATACATACATACATACCTACATGCATGCATGCACAAACATACATACATACATGCATACATACACACAAATCCCTACGTGTAGACAGATCAAGACATATTCATACATACATACTTGATTGTATGCAGAAATACCTGCATGCATACATATACACATGCGTACAGACAAGCATACACAAATACCTACATATATGCATGCATACATACATGCAGATGTACATACATATATGTATACATATACATGAATACCTAAATGCATAAGTATAAACATATAGATAACCATTTATACATGTCTATATCTACATATACGTATGAAAATACACGCGTGTGCGGTGCGAGCTGCCAGACCCGCCGGCGGGGCCGGCCGCGCCACGAGCTCCAGGCGTGACCCGTCCCCCTGAGCGGCCTCGCTCCTCTCCCCCCCTGCTTCGGTTGTTTCCTATGTCCTTTCCCCTCCTCCTTGCATTGGGGCACAATTCGCTGCAACGGTATCCTCGATTAGTTAGCTCTCCGCCAGCGCCGTTCCTCTGCCTAGCCGCCGGCGCAAAAAGTGCGTGACGTGAGCTATGTGGTAAAAGCTAAGCAAGCCGTAAGCTAAGTCGTGTAACCAATGCTGTGTAAGCTATGCGGTGCACGCGCACGGGACGCACACGAGGCGCCCACGAGCGGGCACGGGCGCCAACTAGGCGAATCCTCGGGAAACCCACCGATCGCACGGGGCGCCCACGAGCGGGCACGGGCGCCAACGAGGCGAATCCTCGGGACGCCCACCCAGCGCACAGGGCGCCCACGAGGCGCCAACGAGCAGGCACGGGCGCCAACGAGGATTCGCCCAGCGCACGGGGCGCCCACGAGGCGCCCAAGAGCGGCACAGGCGCGTGGCGAAAACGCGGGAAACCCACCCAATGACTTGAGAAAGCCAAGGGAGAACTCCTAAGAGCAAGCAATTTTCGGAGCACGGGGCTAAAGAGCCAGGAGGGACTCCTCCACTGAACGACACACTGCCAGCAGGTTGGGGGGATCACCAAGAATTGCTCAGAGGTGAGACCTCAATCCTTTCAAGACAGTTCGCTCTCCACGGTCCGCGTGTCACCCAGCCTGTATACACCCGAGTCCTCGTCTCCCATCCTCTTCGTCCTTTTTCACGCCAGCTCCTAAGCAAACCCCGACAAGGTGAGACAATAGGGTCAGGCGGCAGGCGGATCAGGCGGGCGTGGCATTGAAACAGGTGGCTTGTGGCTTTCAGGCAATCGTCCTGGCGAACCCTGACGGTCAAGTCGGGCGGCGGACCCTGAAGAGCGGGCGGACCCTGACGGGCGGGTCGGGCGGGCGGGACATTGAAGCGGGCGGCCGGTTTTCGGAGCAATCGGCCCAGCGAAACCTCACAGACGAGCGGGCGCACCCTGACGGGCGGGCTGGGCGGGGGTGGGGGGGGCGGCCAAACGGGTGGGCCGTGCGTGCGGATTATATTGGGCGGGTCGGTCATACAGGACATTAAATCACGATTCCTTTGTAATTAATCCGAGAAGAAGTCTCAGGCGAGAGCACGATTCCTAAGTACCTTGCGAGAGCGATTCCTGAGCAGCGAAAGCACGATTCCAGAGTAAATGATGAGGAAGTCCCAGGCGAGAGCGCGATTCTTGAGTAATTTCTAAGAAGTCTCGACCCAATGCTCGATTCAGTCATAACTCGTTTGAGCATATCAGGCGGGAGCCGTTGTTCCTCTAGTCTGGGTGCCCAACAATACACTTTGGACAGTAATACGTTCCCTGACAAAAAGCAAGGTGCGAGCCCCAGGGGGTGCGGGCACTTCAATTGAGGAAACACAGTGGGCACAGGTGGGGAGGCATGAACAAAAATGATCATGTATCAATGATGAAGGCTCGAAGCAAAGAATCACCGTAAAGCCGGTCGGTTCCTCGCAGAGCTTCTCGTTTTGGGGTACCTCTGGAGGGTCTGCCTGGCTGCTTCTGGGCCCGCACCTGACCCTCGAGGTGCCAGGGCAACCTCGGCCCGTTGGCAAAACAACAGAACGAAGCAGAAAGCTGTCCTGCTCCCACCTGTATGCCTCTGCCTTCTTCAGCTCCCTGCCGTTCTTGGCCTGCAGCCAGCGCTTCTCGAAGTCCGAGCCGCGCACCTTGCCGTCCTGCCCACGGCCAGTCAGGTCCGTGCTTCGACGCACGGCGAAACCAGGGAATGCCCAACAAAAAACAACAACAACGAAATCGCCTGAAGGTTCGCTCGCTTCGGCAGTCTCGAATCGGACACTAAGGAAGCGCTGCACAAGAACCCCACCGATGCTTGAATAGGATCAACAACGATACAAATGGGACTCGAAACTTGCCGCAAAAGGCGGCGTCACGATAGGTGCCACTCTCGCCTTATCTGGTTGAAACGTCTACGCGGTCAGCAAAAGCACCTGGCAGCAGCCAGACGGGATTGCGACTCCAGCGTCACCGTTCAGATCGGCACAGTAGCAAAGCACAGCGATGGGTGCTACAACCATGGAGTATGCAGCACGAGTTGCATGGTTTAGCACCTGGCGTAGGCTCTCCGCGTGCTTATAGCAGCAGCGGCAGCAGCATCAGCGCGACACTGTGCTTGTCGCTCCCGTTGTATTATCAGCAGCCGCAGTAGCAGCAGCAGTAGCAGCTGCTGAAGCAGCAACAGCAGCGAGGGCAAGAGTGACTGCGACAGCTGCGGCAGCAAAGCATATGCCTCCCAGGGTGACTCGCCTTCCGCTCCGCTGCTGCACCTGAGCAACCCCTGTCTACTTCTGCATATGTCTCTTCTCTACGTGAGATCCATCACCCGAGAACGAGAACTATTCTGTCCGCTCCTGCGTCTGCCTCTCCTCCGCATTCGCTTCCACTTCTACAGACTACGCGTCCGACGAGATCGCAGGCACCATCGCTGCCAAACGGGCGACGAGACGCATCGGCTTTGAGCTGGAAGGCAGAGCAATGTCCACAGGCGTTCGAAGTGTCCACAATTGTTGCCAATCTCGACCATCAACGTCGGCTAAAGTTTAATAGAGAGGACCGCGCATATTGCGACGTATGGCTAGCAGGTTGTCTGGCGAGGGAACGATACATATTTTCGTCGGCAGCGCTGGAGGTCGCAAGCGCGTCCGCAGAGCCGACAGAGGAAACGATACACATGGCCCGGAGAGGAAATCTCATGAGGAGCTGTGTCGCGCGAGTAGTACGACGCACCAGGCACCGGCCCCGCGCTTCTGTTCCTTGCCTGCTTCTCGACGCCTTAGGTCGGTGCACGCATCGTCATATGGACCTTGGCGGAAAAGACGACCGCTTTCCATCATTTGGGTTTGCGGAGGTCGGCGTTCTAGGAGAACACGCCGCTTTCGGCCAGATCTAGTGGCCTTGGACCCAGAAACCCTCGTGTTCCCCGACCTGACCCCTCCGAACGACCCCGACGTCGAGCCCCGCATATGTATCGCTGTGCCCGTTTCTGATTGCGCTCGTTCATGGCTTAGCCGCTTAGCCGTTTCTGGCCTCGAGACTGCTACAGAAGGACAGCAGGGCTGAGGCAGAAGCGTCGGAGACGAATGGAAAAGACCCTCGAAGCCGCCTCAGGAATGAAAGAAAAGGCCAGGAGTAGAGCAATGAGAAATCCGTCACCGCGCTTGCGGAGATTGGAATGTGTCGGGCCCCCGACGCATCGGGCCCAGCATGCGTTCACTCTTGTTGTGAAGGAAGCCCCTCTGTTGCGTTTGCCTTCCACGCATCAACTTGTTCAGGGCCCCCCAGGCCCGAGGCCAGGGCGCTGCTGACCAGGACTCTGGCAACTCCACTTGGAGAGAGCGAGGAATGGAGAATGATTCGACCAACAACTTCAAGTTTCCCGGGCTCGCCACCGAACCGGTTCATAAGAATCCCCGTTTCGGGGCCCCTGTCTTCTTCCACAAGGTTGCCGGCAAGGCGCTCTGTTGCCAACCCGCTGCCCCACCCCCGACGGGCCCAGAGGCGCCCCCGCCGAGCGCGGTGGCGGTTCGCGCGGCAGCGCACCAGGTGGGCCCGTCTTGGTTGGGGGCCTGCGGGACAATGCTGGCGGCTCGCAGACGCCAGCCCCGTGGACCTGCCGGAGGTGTCCGGAGCTCGTCTCGGAGCCAAGGGAGCGATGAGAGAAAGGGGAACCTTTCGCAGGATTACAGAGCGACCTTGCACGGTGGCTTATGCGGGCCGCCAGCGTGTGACGCCACCTGGAGAAGGGAGCGCTTACGCGCGACCTTACCTTACGCGCGAATGTCCGCGCAGTCGACTCCGTTTTCTTATGGCGCTCATGTTGAGCTTGAGAGGGGAAACTGTCAAAAATGTGTAGAAAAATCTTGGAACTTACCACAGACTGACGTCCCAGGGGCGTTCGGTGCATCATCTATGAGTCCTGCACGGGCCGTCTTGGAAGGCATGTTGAGGAAGGATGGCGAGGGGGGCGAGACCAGGGGAGCGTCTGGAAGGATCCCCCGAGCAAAGAAGGGGGGGAACGGTCGGTCGGACGGTCGCGCTGTGGGAATCATCGATCGGGAGAGCACACCGACAAATACGGTGCATCACAGGGTGATCCGACTGCTGGCGCGGTCTGGCGGGCGCCTCCCCGGAGAGACAGGCGGTCCTGGCGGGCCTCGTGGAGAGGGCAAGAGAAAAGGGCACGATCCCAGATTGTACTACCACTGCTCCGATGGCCGGCGCTGTCTGGCGCAGCCCCCCTCGAGGGGCAGACGGTATTGGTGGGACTGGGGCGGTGGGAAGGGCATGATCTCTGATGAGCACCAGGGTGCCCCCATGGCTGGTGCCGTCTGGCGCAGCATCCGTACAGGGGCAGCCGTGCGTGTGTCTGGCGGGAGTGGTGGAGTGTGAGTTGCATGCGGGAGGAGGAGGGCCATTGGTACTCGTTTGGACATGCGCAGCGGGAAGTGTACATGCACGCATGAAGTGACAACGGGGTATTCGCATTGCAGCAGGAGGGCGGAAAGATGAGTGAGGGGGAGGAGGAGGACGAGGAGAAGAACGAAAAGGAGGAGAGGATGAAGAGAAGGATGAGTAGGAGGGGAGGAGGAGGAGGAGGAGGAGGAGGAGGAGGAGGAGCGTGGGACGGTGTGAGAGAACAAGAACCCCCCACTCATAATCAGGGGGTCCAACAAACAATAAGCTTGCACCTAACGAAACAGCAGACCAGCCAGAAAAACAAACAAAAGGGGGAGGTGGGAGGGGGGAAGTGCCGACAAATCTGGGGGCCCTCCTCCCGAGACATCCGACGTCGTGACTTTGTCAGCAACTCGGCTCCCCAGAGGTCTGGACCCCTCTCCAGGGACCAGCTCCTTATCCTCAGTCGTTCTCGGACGCTCCCGGGACCCAGGGGCCCCCAGAAGCCAAACACCAACACCTCCCGTCGTGCTTGTTTCACGGCGTGAGGATGTCAGGGGCCCCCCGCTGCCCCGTCCCCTCCCAGCGGTAGCCCGGCGGTATGTTGAACCTGTTGGGCCAGGGCGCGTGCGGGCACTTGGGCCTGGGCGGCCTCGCCGCCGCAGCGCCGGCGCCAGGGCCAGCAGCTCCGCCTTCCGCCTCGCGCTGCTCCTCCTCCGCAAGGCCGCACGAAAGTGGGGCCGGAGGATCGCCCCAAAAAACAACGATGCAACCGGCAATGCGCAGGTCGGAGGAGGGCCAGTCCAGGCAACGGCAGCCTTGACTGGCGGTGTTAGTGCTTTCTGGGCCTCCTGGAGGCTTCTCGTCGCCACGATTGGATCCGCCACGAATAGCAGGCCAGGGTCGACCCTGGAGGGGTCTGGGGACCCATTTTGAACGGCCGGGCGGGAGAGCAGCCATTGTCTCAACTGGCCATTCTCCGAATCGGCGACGTCGGGGAAGATCGGGCTCTGGGATCGCGCCGCGTCGCCGATGCAACGGCGATGCGGCGCGGTCCTCCCGCCCCACCTGCGGTGAGGAACTCCTGCAAAGCGTGTCTGGGCGCTGGCCCCGGCGCCACGCGATGCCCTGCAAGCGGATGGCATGCCTCTCCGCTCCCAGGGGCCAGAGGCTGGGAAGGGCTCGGACTGTTGATGCTCGGAGACTGGGACGTGGCTAGGCCGAAGCGTAGTGGGACAGAACCTGCGGGCGGCGCGATACGCCAAGCAAGCGTTTCTGATCCTGTGGCCCGGATCCTCAGGCGAGGCCGCGGAAAGCTGCTGGCGGAAGTTTTCGTAGGCTTTTGAAGGGAATACCCTGGCGGTAAGACGAAGCCAGGACAGGGGCAAAATCGGACCAGAACAAATCAGGAATCTCTGAGATCTAGCGGCTCTGGGAGGTGTATCGGGCGCAGCGGCCGTTCCAGAGCGCCTTGGAAAGCTCTGAGAGCATTCTTGAGCTCTCTGTAGCGAGTTACTCTGGTCCTAGCCCGCCTGCCCAAGACATGTAAGGGAGGATTCGGGGAGGCTTCTTGGAGGGCTGTGTCCGCCATGGCAGGACCCAGCTCAGTACATGGGACCAGACCCCCGACGTAATGATTTTTTCATCACGTCGACCCCCATAGGCCTCGACCCATTCCCCGGGACTGTTTTTTTATCCGGAGTCGTTTTTCGACAGTCCCCGGGGGGGCGGGGGGCGGCGCGCTGGCCGTCTTGTCACGAAGGCAAAGGGGGAGGAGGAGCAGGAGCAGGAGGAGGAGGAGGAGGAGGCCGAAAATCGCCAAAGGAAACCTTCCACCGCGCCTCTCCCATCACCCGAGGGAGGGTCCGGCGGTCGAGGTGGTGCGCGGCAGCTCTCTGCTTTGTCAGAGGGTGGCAGCCCCTCGGCGGCTCTTCCGGATCCTGCTGGCCCACCCAGGAGGGCACTCGTCGCCTCCGGCTGGGCTCCCCTCGCGAAGTCCGGGTCGGGGCGCGGTGCGGGGCAGGCCGGGAGGTCGAGCCCGAGACGGTCGGGGACGTTCTCCTTCGCGTGTGGCCGCGGGGGCCCCGGCGACACGCTACGCCTTGCGAGCGGATAGCATGTCGCACCGCTCCGCGGCGGGACGTTGATGCCTGGGGACGCAGAATCGCGCCCAGGCGGTGGGCCAGAACCGTGGGAGCGACACGCTATCAAAGGTTCCCGACCATAGTTTGAGTTGGTCCTTGGCGACTGTCCTTGAGGGGCCTGCACACTGACACCGCCACCAAAATGGGGCGGTCACTTCCGTCGAGGGGGGCTGACCCACGATCTCGGTGGTGGAGTTCGGTGTTCTGCCCCTGCAGCTGGTCTGAAGTATCACAACCTGTGGCTATCTTCTCTCGGTCTCACTGTCCGCGTGCAGGCCTCCAAGAGGGGGCAAGGGGGGAACAGGCGGAGCGGGCGAGAAAGAGGAGCAAGTTTCGGATCCCGCTGCTCCTCAAACTTTCTCATTGGATCATTCCAATCCGACCGTTCTTGCAGCCGCTTGCTTTGTGGCCGCGCGCACTTACGCGAGAATCGGTGCCATGTCACTCTCATGCCACTCAATGTGCTTATCATTGCTTATCCCACTCATCTTCCTCCTCATCCTCCTCTTCCTCCTCCTCCTATTCCTCCCCCTCCTCTTCCTTCTCCTCCTCCTCCTCCTCCACATCCTCCGTCTCCATCCTCCTCACCTTCCTCCTCCTCCTCCTCCTCCTCCTCCTCCACCACCACCACCACCACCACAACCACCCTTCTTCCCTTCTGGCTCCTCATCCCTCCCCATCCTCCTTTCCCCCCATGCTCCTCCATCATCCGACCCCTTCGACCAGACAGGCCCTCGAGCCGAGAGAACGGCCCGGAAAGAGGGCCTCTCAGCGCCTCCAGGTGCTTCTCGTCGGGGGTGTACCGCGCGAACGGCTGGGCCGCGATCCTCGCCACCTCCGCGTCCTGCTCCTCCTCGTTGACCTGGCGACAAGAGGAGAGCGCTCACCAAGAGGGGACGGACGGCCGAGGGCAGGCGGCGGGGCAAGAAGACTGGCCAGCCAGCATGAGAGCCAAGGAGGCACGCAGTGCCCGGACAGGTGTGCACGATCTGCTGTATGCGCGCGCGCTTGCGCAGCAACACCACGGATGGACGCATGCGTGTGCCTAGTGCCTAACGGTATGGTAAACACAAGACATCACATCGATGTATACTCTGCGGCGACGGGAGAAGCCCAAGGGTTCACACAAGAGTTGGTCCGAGGGCAGAGGCAGGCACAGCGATCTGCAGCCCACCGCGCGGACGGTGAGCGGACGGGGAAGCCCCAGGGATGGCAGGATCGCCGAAGAGCAAGGCATCGATGGTGGCAACGGCAGCCGAGGAGGAGGAGGCTCCGTAGCCACTTTGGCTCGAGGCGCGTGCGCCCGAGCCTGCCTCCGCCGCACGGGGCGAACGGGCGGCGCCCAGGCGATGCCCCGGGCCACGGAGGAGCTGGCGCCCGCGACCAGCAAGCCGAGACTTCCCCGCGCACGCGGAGACCGAGCACAGCAGCAGGGTCTGCCGACGGCAGGAGCGTGCTGTCATGTGCCGGCGTGCACGTGCCGCGAGGAAGGGACACCCTCCAGCGGCCATCGATGTGATCATCGCCATCGCCCGCAACAGTTGCCAACGCTGGACCTACTCGAACACAGCGTGCGAGCACCTGCGCAGCGAGCAGGAGACCAGTAAACTCGGCACGGAGAAACTGGAGCTCGTCCCGGTCACCCCCGGGAACGAGGACGATGACTACGGCAACAACTACGGCTGCCAGGACCACGCCCACCAGGAGCACGACGAGCACGACAAGCACCCCTACCGGGACTGCGCCTGCCCAGGGCCGCTGCGGCTGCCGGGACAGCACCACGGCCACGGCTACCAGGACGGCGCCTGCCGCAAAGGCGGCCGCGCTGGCCGCTGGGGCCGCGCCTCGGCCCTCAGCGGAGCTGGCCCCCCGGGCGCCCCATCCCGGAGTGGGCCCGGGCCGCAGCTCAGCGGAATGTGAAGCTGGGTAGGGTCAGCCCGTGTTATAGGGACGCACGATAAGGATGCAAGGGCCTTGGAAGACCATGTCGACACTTTGTGAGCGGGGCGCGGCCAGCGAAAGTGGCCAAGGATGGGCCGAAGGAGGAAGATGCAAGGGTAACCTTGGAAAGTCGCTCATCCTTACTATGTGGGTTGACTGTATCCACCCGAGAGATTCCCTCGGCGGTCCCCCCTATTCGACAAGCGCGTTCCACTAATCACAGAGTAGCAACTCGCAAATGGCCTGGACCCGCCGCGGGGGATTTACGATCCATCACATCGAGGCAAACATGTGTTTATATCTCAGACGTGCTCGAGTAGCCACTTTGCGAGTAGTGGAACGCAACAGGTGACCTACCTAGCCCTTCGGGCTATGTCGCCGAAGACCACAACCCCGTCGCCACGGCTAGATCCGCCACAAAATCTCGAACTGACCATCACCAGGCGGCTGCCCCGCGCCAGGTCCGCTTCGACCCTGGCCACGAGGAGGACAAGAACACCGAGTACGCGGAAGCGCCCGTGGAGGAGGGCGTCGAGGAGGACATCGAGTACGAGGAGGAGGCCATCGAGCGCACGCTTGGCCCCGGCACCCCTGGCGCCACGGCCGTCCTCGCGAAGGAGAGGGAGGGAAGACGTCGGGCGCGCGGTCGCCCTGCACGGCATTGGCGTGCCCGGCCTCGCCTCGCAGGACTGCAGCCGACAAAAATGATCCAGAAGCCTGTAACTGAAGAAAGTTGTGCCGGCTCCCTGGGAGTTTCTTTAAACACAACTGCGTCAATTTCCGTGGATAACGCTGGAGGGGCGAACGTGCCCAAGAAACTGGGCCTGCTTTCCGGCAAGTTGGTTGAGAAACGCTGGCCCAGCTTTTTGGGAGGAGGTTTCTTAATCAGCTGCTCGACTGTACCTCGAGCACGACTTCAGCGACAAGAGCGATTCTGTCACAATCCAGGGCGACATCGCGGAGAACAACGCCGATGCCCGCTTTGATGCTTACCCCGGCACCAGTGCGAGCGCGGACGCCAAACCCATCGCCAGCACCGCCGCCAGCGCCGTCGCCGACACCGTCGTCGCCACCCCTGGAATGTGTCGGCACGCCGCACGCCCGAAGGAGAGCAATGAGGCGCTTGCGGCTCGCTTGTCCCAGATGTGAAGGCCAGGCACAACCCAGCGACCGGTCAGACGGCCCGTACGCCAGTGAATGGGAATACTGCAACGTGCGTTTCTGTGGAGGAGAGGGGCCCGCCGGCACCACTGCAGCAGCTGCGAGAATGACCTCTGCCACGAGTGCGCTCCGCGCCACCTGGCCGACGCGCAGGCTGGCTTCTCACAGCCGCGAGCGATGATTTGCCCCTCCAGGCAGCTCTTACCAGCTCATTCTTTCGGTTGACCCAAAAGTGGGTCCAGCTGAAAGGGAGTGTTGCGATAGATTTGGGCAATTGTATTGCACATGTATTGCGCCAGAGAACTGTATTGCTTTGTACTGCAACCACATGAACTGCGCGCGAAAGTCCAGCAATACATACATCTGCGCACGGGAATGTGTTGCACGCACGCCCCAAACCTACTGCAACCCCGCAGATCTGGCACCAGATCTACTGCACCGCCCTCTTTTCGCCAGACCCCCTTTGGGGTCAACCAGAATCCGCTCGTCGACCGAGCGCAGGGAGCCGCGCCACTCAGACTCGCGGTGCACGGCTCCGTCGCCGCGCAGGCCTGCTGCTCGCCTCTCGAGCCGCCGCCACCGCCGGGGAGGCGGGGGGTACGCGCCGGCCCGCGCACTGCCAGGCCCAGGCCCGTGGGACGGGCTTGGGGGGGGGAGGGCAGGGGAGGGTAAGGAAGTCGAGGAGGACCAGACTGGACTGGAGCGCTTGCGATCCTGGTGGGTGACGCCTGGGGTGCAGCACTAATGCTACCGAGCAGGGAATGTGTAGAGGATCTGCGGTTTGCGATGAGAGGAGCAAGAACCTGAGACTCCGCTGGGGGGGCGTCCTCTGGCCCCGAGCAAGACCAACCACAAACCACATGGTGAAGACCCGTGATGGCCTGCAGGGGCACCATCCTCCCAGCAGGCGCATAGGAGAAGACCGAGAGGAGGCAGAGGAGGGACCCGAGGGTGAGAAAGGGATAGAGGAGAAGGAAGCCCTTCGTAGAACGGGGGAGATCGCCTATAATACGAGCCCTCCGCGCTCTCGCCGCCACCTTTGATGGCGAACCGGAACCCTTCCGGTGAACAGGGGCTCACACATGGGGGGGGGCAGGGGGAGAGGAGGAGGATGCAGACGGAGACTGCGGGAGGGGCAACACGAGCACGGGCGGCAGTAGCCGCAGGGCCGATGACGCCGCCGCCGGGTTCCCCAGGGTGGGCGTCGGCCGTGTTGGCGACCCTCTCCCTCCCCCTTCCCGCCCTCCTCCGCCGTGCCTGCTGCTCCCCCTGGCTCTGCCCCACTCTCGCTTCTCCTCCTCTCAGCCTCTCTCTCTTTCTCTCCCGTCCCCCATACTGCTCCCGCTCCTGCTCCTGCTCCTGCTCCTGCTCCTGCTCCTGCTCCTGCTCCTGCTCCTGCTCCTGCTCCTCCTCCTCCTCCTCCTCCTCCTCCTCCTCCTCCTCCTCCTCCTCCTCCTCCTCCTCGTCGTGCCGCCCCTCCGTCGGTCTCCCTCTGCTAAGGGGACGCACCCGTTATTGGCGCTGCCCAGGTTTACACGCGCGCCCTCTCCCCCTGAGGAGGGGAGGGCCTCACCAGGGCTTCGACCATTCGTGGTGACACAGTCCGCAGCTCGAGCTCGAGGAGGCACAGCGTCGAGGATGGCTTCGTCAACTCCCTACCCCTGGGACAGATCGGTGGCCATCTCAGCAATCCTGCCGATGGAGCGAAATGACTGCGAAGCCCTTTCGATGGGCTTCTGCGTGGAGCAGACGATGGGAATGAACTAGAAGAACGATGCTAAGAAGACTAGATTCCGAGGGGTCCGCGAGCCAGAGCCTCCTGAGGGAATCAGTCGCCAGAGCTCGAGCTCGAGGAGGAGGAGGAAAAGGAGGAGGAGGAGGAGGAGGAGGAGGAGGAGAAGGAGGAGGGAGGAGGACTTCGGGGTCATGGAGGGCTCGGGGGGGGGCATCAGGGGCTATGGGGGGAATGAGATGGGTTCTAGGGGGTTCGACCCAAGGGCACTCAGCTCCGCAAAAGGTGGCGGTCTCGATGCAGAAACCCTTCCAACCGACAACGCCGCCCGGGCGCGCCGAAGAATTTCCAATCTGCCCGGAAGACCGCTCGCCCAGAAAACCGCTGCCCCGAGCCCCTGAGCGGCTCTACCAGAGCGGGCTTCTGCCAGAGCGGGGGGGGGAGGCGGCGCGGGCGGCGCACGACGAGGAGGCGGGGCGAGCGAGGGGGGGCGTCTCGGAGGCACGGGAGGGCTCATCACTGGAGCCCTCATGCCTTCTGATGCGCCTTCTTGGATTGGGCACCACGCTGACACTTTTTGGAGGAAGAAGAAGAAGAAGAAGAAGAAGAAGAAGAAGAAGAAGAAGACGGGAGCGGACAACGAAGAGTCCGCTGCAAGGGGCCACCAGATCCCACGCAGCGGCAGTGCTCAACAGCGGATCGGGCACACGCTGACATGGATTGGGGATCCGTGGATCTGGCGCGCGGGCGCCAGACCCACGGATCGGGCAGAGTGCAGAGTGTCCCCCGAAACGTGGTGCCAGTGCCGCCCGATCTGGCGATGGGGCGGGCAAATCCATCATGGGAAGCGGGACCCCTTGCTGATCCGCGCGCCAGAATCCGTGTCTGCGCCTCCTCGATTGACGAAGGCCGCGGCCCCTCCTGCGAAGCGCGCCCCCTTGGAGGACCACCCCCCACGCCCGACCCCCCCTGGCGCGCGCCGCCAGGGTCGGGGGCACGAGCGCACCGAGGAGGAGGAGGAGGAGGAGGAGGAGGAGGAGAAGGCGCCACTCTGGATCGGGGATTGGGGGCGCGGGCCCCCCCATCGGGCGCCTTCTGGCAGAGAGGCAGCGGCTTGCTTCATGTCATGGCACCTGCTGCTCTCTCAGCGTCGGCAGCCCGCCGAGGCATCATGTTTGCGCAGTTCAACCCGCAGAGCGCTGC